TAATGTATCTACCAGTTGTACGGGTTAATAACATCGCCACCTGACGTCAACTAACACAAGGTTCATAGAGTGTTTCTAAGCCGATATCAAAGTACAGTTATTGAGGTGTTACTTCTGTACAAAAATGACGTAGTTAATCTAGGTGTTAAGCGTCCAAGGGACAACAAGTCACCAAGTGACTGACTTGGTTTTCAACGTATAATTTTTCACATAGGCGCAGTACGTCAAACTGCCACACGCTATATAAAAAACTAAGGTAGAGAAAACAATTGTAAAAAACTAAAACTTACGGCAGAAATAGTGGTTACATGTGGGATAACGAGCATTTAATTGATTAGTAAGGTTAGATACAGTGAATGCATCTGCGCAATTGAGAGTTATTCCGGGTCAGCTTATTGCCTCTTAGCGTTTCGAAGACTTCAGCATGGCAGTCTACACGGCGCAAACCAACAGTCAGAGGCTTCATGCAATGAAGCCATGTTTAGAAATGACAAACCCTAGTCGGAGACCAAGGACAATTCGAGAGGTCAGTAGGCAACCAACTAATGCTTTCTTATGGATAGTGAGACGTCATTTGTATGTCGTATGACTTAGATATACTTTAGCAGCCTTCATAACAACTGAAGCGATAAACTAGATATTTCTGAAATTCTAAATGTGTCCGCTAATGGTTAACTTATGTACCTAATTGTAAAGGTGAAACTTCGTTTTTGAATTGTATGACACAGATGATTAGAAAGATATCTATTATCCAATGAAACAATATTAGTCTTTGAGTTAATAAGGATTAGTCGTGTTTATGTAGTTTTTCATGTACATCAAGACTAAGCAACCATTTGTCGATGTCACTTATTTGTGTGTTATAGTTAGTCTGTCTACTAGTTTCTAACTGCTCCTAACCCTTGAATATTATTATAGATTTAAGATATCAGAGTTCATTGTAGGTGCCCGACTTTGTTTCTAAGTTGGGTGTGGTGAATAGGTGGACATTTGCTTAATAGTTTCCAAAAGGAGTGCTATCAAACATTTTTCCCTTTCATTTCATAACCTCAGTGTCATGTTCGCTTATAACTGATTTTCTTCCTGACAGTAAATAATACCCCCATAATTCTATATATCAGTAATCTGAGTGCAACCATAGGTCGATCGAGTAAGACCAACTTGGGACTTTCAGTTAATAGTAATACTATAGAAAAAAAAGTGAAATCACACCAACTTTGCCATTTTCCTAAGTTTTTTTCTCTGATAACGCCTTATAGAACGACATTTTTATAGCTTTAAATATCCCGAAACATCGATCGAAATTTCTAGGGAATGGTTCGACAAGATTTGGGAACGTAGATTACGGAATCTCGGCCTATCAAGTGACTGGTATCGTCCCCTTCTTATAGTATGACCATATTGACTAAGACCGTTCAAAGTTGCAAACTATAACAAAATACCTACCAAGTGTTCAAAGGTTTTCTTGCTGATATTGGCTTGAGCCTCTTTGGAATTAAATTCCTATAAACCTTTAACATCTGAATCTATGTAAGAGTTGTTGTATGAAATTCTCACTTGATGTGCTGACAGTGAGGAAAGTCGTGATCAAATCATGTATGTATTAAAAGTAATGTTAAATGTACGGTAAATAATTGCATCGTCAATTTCTCATGTTAAGTGGGACTATTGGGCAGTTTACTTGCAGTCAGTTCTCATGACTGCAACACTTCAGAGTCATTTTTGCGCTATGCTTTCATGTACACGGATGTAAAATGCATGAATAAATAATATGACCGCTCGTTCCCAGATATGATTACGCTTTCCCACTGCGTTTCGCCGATAGTTTTGAATTTTGAAAATTCTCAAGTAATCCTACTTTTTTGTTAACCTTAAATACAAGGTACAATGGCTAATGTGACTATAATTCAAACTACCATTTAAAATGTACCGCAGTTTTGTTGTCTTAAGATTATTCTGCTAAACTGAAGAGGCAACACAAATATATTTTAAAAAAGTTGTATTTGTCATTACTGCAGGAATCTCGGTATCACCAATGGATAACCTAAGAAATTGCCAGTCTGCTACTATCATCTTAATCAAACACAGCTACAGAAAACAATATGCTATAGTTACAAGAGTTCATGCAACAAATAAGTGGTCAACATGTAAATCATGAGATTCTAAAGGAATGTAGTCTATAATCTGTTCGGAGAATGCGAATGCGGTTATATAAGGTCTACGAAAAACACCCAAGTGGCACTGCTTCATGTACCATGCAATATATCGGTCGTAATACCCACCTCCACGACCAAGGCGACCTCCACTCCGGGTGAAGGCTAGTCCAGGTACAATAAACGAATCCAATCCACCTATTAAACAACCAAATTGAAAATTAGGTCATAATTATATTTCTCATTAGAAAAATATAAGGATATTCAAAGTGAGACACCTTGCATGGAATTAGCGTGGAACAACTTACGCTTTCTGACATCTAGCTATAAAACGGTGATATGTACAACATAGCATGGAGTGTTCATGAAGACTCTTATTTCACGGGAATATGTATAAGAGATAAAACAGTGTGTGCAATACGATAAACAACTGTCTCGTAAACCCAGTGATTACTTGAGTAAATTATGGTTGTGAGTTCTGCTTTTTTAAATGGTGACGTCCATCAAATATATCACCCACTACTAGATCAGTCTCTAATCACATCACAACTCCATAAATGTGTACGAGCGCGAACTACATTTCGAGGTAAGGTTAGAAAAGTTGCGTAAAATTTCAGCTTTCAAATTGCTATACAAGATCATGCTCAATAGGGGTCATGGTGTCAGTAGTGACATTTAAGAATGACTTAATAAGCACTGAACAGTTGGATTTCATAAGCTCCTGGGAATGTGGTTAGCACTGACTGGATTACACTATGGTAGAATTCATTTGCTGCTGGCACTTCGGATTGTGAGGGCGATTGTTACTTCCCGGCTGCCCACACCGTGGAAGTTGGTTGCGTGACCGCAGAGCCCAGGGGACAACTGCTTGAGGCTGGTCACACGGCCTGTTTTTGTTTGTTCTTACTTATTTGGTGTGTCTCAGTAGCGTATTTATCACTTCTGCCCTGTGACACGGCAGCAGGAAGCGCGGTCGTTGTTAATCCGGGCCCCGACCGATCCGGCATGATATTTTGTGATTTACTTGAAGTCATAGGAATGGATTGGGTAACTGCTTTTAGTCTAACCGCTATCCAAACAACCTTTCTGGCATGGTAGGACCTGCAGGAACATTAGTTCCAGCCAGTATAGCTTGTTGGGTCATTGCGGTGTTCAAGCCCGACCACCACGTCAAGGTAGCAGCTTTCGGTCGGGAGAATTCATTTATTTACTTCTTGGAGTACCTTCAACGAGGGAAAAACCACTCTGGACTGATTTCTCCGTGTCTTTCTATAGTTCTCTAACTGATGTTTAGTTGTATGTGAAAGTTCGTTTTTCCAGACAACGTTAATACCATACGATAACACTGTTACATGTCAAATTAGTAGTATCACTAATTAAATATAAGCCTTGATTAGTTTATCAACCGCAAACTTGTCTGTTTTTCGAAAACACATATCTTAGTTGGCACATGACTAAAATAACAGTAAGTTTCAAGGAATTGTTGTCCAGAAAGTCGGTGAAAGCTTTGCAACGAAACCATTCATCTCATCGAACACAACCATATCAAAAAAGCTTTTACTAACTGTAGTGTAAAACCAAATGTATTTACCTTGGTTTGTAACTATGTCTGACAATTCTTTATTTAGCACTTGTTCCGGTTCTTTAATTCCCCAATTATTAGGCTTCCAAAGTTTGATTTCTTCTGCTGACTTTACGGGGACCATATACATGTCAGCAGATATTACTTTTGGAACAAAAACTCTCTTTCCATCCATAAGTGCTTTTTCGATCAATAACATTGTGTTAGGCTCTTCGGGAAGATTGATGTAAACGGCAAGCTTCTGCACATTGCAGTATTCAGGAGTACACAGGAACTGGAAAACCATTGAATTTGATAAATATACGACTACAGGTTTATATATCAAGATTCTGGTTAAATAACATTCTTACACAGTCTTTATCGTACAATCGAGTATCTTTTTTATTTAGGACGAAACCATTTATACTAAAGTGGAAATTACTGCGAAGTTTAGAATTCATCTAATAAAGCTAGAGATGCATGTGGAGTCCTAGAGTCCACGTTTTCGCACGACACGGAAGCATAAAGCCCCTCAAAGAAGCGTATTGCTTTTATGTCGTACGACTGGCTAACAGAAGAATACATAAGCAGATATGTGGACTCGTATCTCCATCAGAATGAGATTCGTGAACATCACAAATCAGAAGAGCTGAGAGTTAGAAATCACTTTATTTTTGCAACTATATAATGAGTGCATAGGATATAAAACATGTTTTAGACTTTCCCCTTACTGATTTGTCCAAAAGCCTCATGTTTCCTAGTTGTCTAAATCATCACTGTCGATTAATTCTCAATTGCATACACACTTATTTATTTTGACGCTTTAATTATTTCATTTGATACCTATCAAAGTATTGTAGGTACTTAAACAAATACGGTCCCAGTAGAATACTCATTAGTAAACGTACAAATGTATAAGATTTGATTAAAACCTACAAGATTCAACCAATAATTTGCATTTAACACTTTCAAAAAATGAGTCTGTTGACTATAACAGCTGAAGAAAGCTCATCAAGATGAACAGAAACTATGAAATCATATGTGACATTTAATTACCCAAGCACCTGTTTTACAAGGTCCTCCGATTTTTTCATGCGCATAGAAGGCGTTATGTTCTTCAGTATATCCCTCATTTGCTGTCTAATAGCACATTTACTGCTCATTATAGATTCTACTAAAAAGAAATAAAAGACTGAAAATAAATGTATTCACAATAAACAAAAAGTCAAATCAATTGAATACTGCATAATCTGTATTTGTAAAACTCTCATATGCAAGCAGTAGTATTATGCCAGCGACGACATAAATGTTGTGAATGAGTTAACAGATGATGACTTGGGTTTGGCTTTGGACGCTACCTGGACGACTTCCGACTTCAGTATATTCTTTTTCAATTTCTTCTTTTCCTTTTTACTTTGTCTAGACATCTATTATAAAAATTCTTGGGAAAAGCAACTAACTTGTTTGCTTTTTTCTTTGCACAAGTGGAACTGTTTTTATCCGAAATGAGTGGATCCTCCTTTGCGCTGAAGATAAAGAAAGCAGTTAACTTTTAGGTATAACGAAATGGTATTAAATAAAGGATAAACAAGTTACATGGCATAATGAAATTCCGCGACTAGATGATACAAGGTCATGTACCAGGGGGCTAAGGGTTACACTTGATGTAATACTGTTAACGATACTAAACAACTGCTAAGAGAAACTGGGTGAAGTTGAATTCAGACCATTTCTTCACAGCGAATAACTCAAACTTATGAGATACAAATCAAGATAGAGATGTATTTCTGCAATGGCGTATTCCGCGGACATAGACTAGTGAACGTTCTGTCTCAAATTACAGCGAAAAGGTAACCAGTCGATAGCAACATGTAGCATTTTATTTAAATACCAATGCTATAATGAAAATGCACTCGCAAATGAAACTGCTAAATACCGTGATACTCAACTCGTTTTATAGTATCTAATGACAACAGCGATTCAAAGTGGTACTAAACAACTACCGGAACTATCTATTATGGATGAAATTCATTTTGATAAAGTCTCACAGTGTTATGCAGTTATATTTACTGATGACGTTTCGAGCACAAGGTATTGCTTATATTCATATCAAGGTACTTATACAACTTTCTAACTTCGTCTATATAATTCCATTATTTTTCATTGCTTGGCATGATTGGTAATAGTATTTTCCATATTTCCGGTATGAGTGATGAGTCATTCCTATTGCATGTGGTGGGTGTAGATTCTATGATCAAAGACTCAATAATCAATCTCTTTCTCCACTTGCCTACATTACTTCTTAGAATTTTGACCTCTCCCACCCTATTGTGTGGTTGTGTGTTAATGCATGCAGTGCAATTGCTGAGCTTTTTCTAAATTACTTATCTTCTCGGGGTCAACCATTCTTACCTTAGCTAAATGCGTATGTTCCGACGATCTGACTACCCTCGACCTACTAGTTTGACCTATGTAGTTGACCTCACTCACAGTCATTGCAGGGTACTTTGTAAAGTACATTATTTTGTCTAATTAGGTCATCTGGGTTTTTTCACCTACAAAGCTTGTCCCTGAGTGAGTTTGTAGGTTTAAATGCCACCCTAATCCTTGCTTCATTGGAAATCCTACGTATGGTCTCATATGTCTCTTCCTTTAATGGTAAAACTATTTATGTTATCGTTGTTAGTTTCACCACTATTTTTATTTTCATGCAACCGGTTCCCTTTATTAGTTTGAAGAGAGAAAGAACGAACATATTTGCAGGATAATACGAGCTCGTTTTATTTCGTGGATTCTCATCAACTGCATACATCCTAAACAAAATCAAATTATAGGTTTCAAGAAAGTTGTGGGACATACTTTTTGGGTTTGTGTATTTTTGGCAAGCCATACATATGCGGGAATTTACAATCTGATGGCTTTAACGAGTCAAATTTTTCTTTACTTATAGCATTTAGGCCTTGAAGCTTCAGTAGATTAGCTGTCACTGTGCCCTGCAACAACTGGATATCTTCTGAGGAAGGATCACGGCTAAATTTGCTTTTATCATCAAGAATAGACATCATTTTAGATTGATAGTCACTTTTATTCATAATAACGACTCCAGAACCTTTATCAGGTTTCGTAATAATGATATTAGGATTTTCCCGTAGCTCTTTCAAGGCTTTGAAATGCTGGGAATTTAAAATGCTTTTCTCGTTTGGGTTGTTGTTTAAAAACTGATGAGCTATATCCACCATCTTGGCCTTAAACCAACCCCGATCTTCATCGGATGTTGCGGCAAGAGGTTTGAGTTGGTCGTATAAGTTTTCAAACTCAGCATGTATGGCTAAATCCGTAAAGTGCGTGCGAGGAACACAAAATTTGAGTCCAAGGGATAATGCTTCTTTCTGATGAGTAGATAGAGTAATATCAGAAAGATTTGTAACATACTTATCAGGATTCACCGGAAAGACATCTACGCGGTTTCGATCATCAATTGAACTCTTCAGCTTATTTTGTATATCCGTCTTAGTTTTCTGAGTAACGTCTTTACAAAACTGAAGAAATTTCATGTGGCATATTATTGATAATTCAGATAAAATAAGTGACGCATCGGTATGAAGAACAAGTAATCCTTGTAACGTTTGTTTAACATTTTCGATATGTGACTTTGTAAGACGAACAAGATTAGAGATATTTGGTTGTAATTTACTGAATTTCAAAGTTTTATAAAATTGCCTCGGGAAGGAATGATTTTTAATACATAATTCATAAAATTCCAACGTGTTACGTTCGACGATAATTTTACACCTAAGGTTAACAAGTTCATTTAACCTTTTGATAGTGTGTGGAGGGAGTCTTCTCTTTAAAAATTTAAAACAATTAGTTCCCTTTATGAATTTAGATAAAGCAATAAGAAGACGTAATTTGTCTGAATCGTGTAATGTATTTGCGCAACACATTTCGAACAATCTGATCACACACGGACTTGTCATAGGAATATATATGAAATTAATAAAGAGGTAAGAGGTGAGAAAAATAGACTTAGGTCAAGTTTAAAGGACATATTCAAGGTCAAAGTAACAATGAAGACCACTAAACCAAATAACAGAGGTAATAGTACATCTGCTATGGTGTCAAAACAAAATTTACCAAGGAAGGTTTAATGTGATGACAAATTGTTTTTGAACGCATAAAGGTGGCTTAAACTTTCTAATTGCTAGGGCTTCCACAAACTTTAGGATACGCCCCAAACACGTTTTATAGATAGGTTTAAAAGATCTGTTAACGTCAATTTTATGTCCTGTTTCTATAATATGTTTTGCAATAGAGGAGCTAGGTCTCCTGTTCTCACCATTAATGGGTTCTGAAGATTCCATTTGTTTCTGGAGCCATTTAGGAATATGCTCTGAAGCCCTTACTTGCAGAGATCGATGAGTCCTCCCTATGTATGTGTGTCCACACGTACATTCAAATTGGTAAATACAGTGGGATGTGACGTCATTTTTCTCATGTTCGAAGGGCTTAGATAGATATATTGGCCTAACATTCTCTATTATTATGATATTGGCTGCATAAAAAGTCTTTTTGACAGCAGCGTTCAGTCTTTGTCTAGTTATCAAGCTGCTTTGATGCCCCATATAGGGTAGCTTGATGTACACGTCTTTCTTAGGGGCGAGTTGGAGAGTGGGTCTTGGTGTTCTGACTACTTTATATCTCCTGATGAACTTGTCTGGATAATTGTTATCAACCAGAGTTTGTGTCAATTTTCCTTCTTCCGCATCAAGTGTGTCTTCAGTGCATATTCGTTGGATTCTACTGAAGAGGCACCTTACTAAGGCTCTTTTGTACCGAACAGGGCAAAAACTGTGGTAATTAAGATACTGTCCTGTCCAGGTAGGTTTTCTATAAATAGATCTTTTTATTGACCCATCAAGCCGTCGACTAAGCAGTATATCTAGGAAAGATAAACAGTTATCTTCCTCTTCTACAGATGTAAGTGATATGCTATTTTGGACTTCATTCATTCGATTTAAAATTGAGGTAGCAGAACAAGACTTATCACTGATGATTACAATATCGTCTACATACCTTCTATAAAGTGGCACATTTTCGATTAAATCCTCCGATAAATTCTCAATGTGCGACATATAAATATCTGCTAAAAGGGGCCCTAACGGACTTCCCATAGCAACACCATCAACTTGGCGGAAACAATCGCCTTCAAATGTAAACCTAACATTGTTAGTACATAGAAGTAATAAATCCCTTAAATAAGATATAGGGAACGGGATGAAAAAATTGTTTGTGGAAATATAATCACACAAAATGTCAACTGTTTTGAGCAAAGGCACATTAGTGAATAACGAGTTTACATCAAAAGAGTACATATTCTTATTCATAATATTAATATTACTATTGTCAAGAAAATCAATCAATTCAAATGTATCTTTTAACACATACTTACAGAATTGTGTTTTAACTGGATGCAATAATTCTACTAACCATTTAGCAAGTTTATGTGTTGGGGATTTGCACATTGACAGTATAGGACGTAGAGGATTATTGGGTTTGTGTATTTTTGGCAAGCCATACATATGCGGGAATTTACAATCTGATGGCTTTAACGAGTCAAATTTTTCTTTACTTATAGCATTTAGGCCTTGAAGCTTCAGTAGATTAGCTGTCACTGTGCCCTGCAACAACTGGATATCTTCTGAGGAGGGATCACGGCTAAATTTGCTTTTATCATCAAGAATAGACATCATTTTAGATTTATAGTCACTTTTATTCATAATAACGACTCCAGAACCTTTATCAGGTTTCGTAATAATGATATTAGGATTTTCCCGTAGCTCTTTCAAGGCTTTGAAATGCTGGGAATTTAAAATGCTTTTCTCGTTTGGGTTGTTGTTTAAAAACTGATGAGCTATATCCACCATCTTGGCCTTAAACCAACCCCGATCTTCATCGGATGTTGCGGCAAGAGGTTTGAGTTGGTCGTATAAGTTTTCAAACTCAGCATGTATGGCTAAATCCGTAAAGTGCGTGCGAGGAACACAAAATTTGAGTCCAAGGGATAATGCTTCTTTCTGATGAGTAGATAGAGTAATATCAGAAAGATTTGTAACATACTTATCAGGATTCACCGGAAAGACATCTACGCGGTTTCGATCATCAATTGAACTCTTCAGCTTATTTTGTATATCCGTCTTAGTTTTCTGAGTAACGTCTTTACAAAACTGAAGAAATTTCATGTGGCATATTATTGATAATTCAGATAAAATAAGTGACGCATCGGTATGAAGAACAAGTAATCCTTGTAACGTTTGTTTAACATTTTCGATATGTGACTTTGTAAGACGAACAAGATTAGAGATATTTGGTTGTAATTTACTGAATTTCAAAGTTTTATAAAATTGTCTCGGGAAGGAATGATTTTTAATACATAATTCATAAAATTCCAACGTGTTACGTTCGACGATAATTTTACACCTAAGGTTAACAAGTTCATTTAACCTTTTGATAGTGTGTGGAGGGAGTC